CATCTGATGTAGCCATACGAAGTGACATGCGTACGTGAAACTTGGGCATAATAATGAATAAACTGACATTACATTTGCAGTAATTTGTTTCAATATGTAAAACATGTTGTTGCCTACATTTGAAAGGATTTGTAGGAACGTTGCAATGAAATCTGAGGAAAAATGCATAGTTGAATAGTGTTCTCTGTTATATAGATCTGACAGCTTTGTGAGACTTCTTTGTAGACTACAGATAACATCATAAATATACATGTTTGTTTTCAGCTGCACGAGAACCAGCCTGAAAACAGAGATCTAAGCCTTTCAGACATTGGGTTGATCTACCCTAATGGTCCACCAAAAAAACCACCACCCAATGCCACCAACTTTATTTAAAAAAAAAAAAAAAATCATATAAATATTGAGTAATGTAGTATTTTAGTATTGTGAATGTGGGAGTACCTCTAGCAGACTGAGGCTTGTTAGAATAGGCAGCATCAGTAGGCTGGCTTGTCACCAAAGTAATACCAACTTCTTTCCACTTTATTTTCTCTGGCCTAAATTATGCACTTATTTGTACAAGCAAAACTTCCACAATTCTGACAGGGTCTCTTCCTTCCTCCTTGCTGCTGGGAGAGACCCAGGAAAGTGTTGGAGCACTCCACAGTGCACTAATGGCTTTTTAACCCTTTTTTCCTCCTGTGAGACAGGAACGTGTTTTGTGTTTTACAGCTGGGAAACTAATGTACAGGGTACACTAGGTATCACAGACCTTAGTGTGACCACAGGTGACAGAGCTGGGGGTTGAATCTGGGTGCTTTTGCTCCGATTTGCTAGATGCTTTTACCATCTTCCAACGATGTCTTCACTGCACACAGCTGTAATTATTCAGTGTTTGGAGATGTCATTGAAAACTGTCTCATGACTTTGCTTCCTTCTGGTGGTGGTATTTTTATAATGCGCAGCAGAGCTGCAATGACAGTTTGCTCTCTTGGGATCTTGTCTCCGAGTCTGGGATGAGCTTATGCCACACCAAAAATTGAAATGAGAACTCTTGGCTTGACTTTTTAACATACGACTGAACGCTTTGCTCCCTTAAAGTGCCCCCCTCTTACGAGTTTAAAATTTTGGATGCGATTGGTGTGAAGCCATTGAATGTGAGAAGGGAGAGCGTACTCTGCCAGGAACAGCTCACTGAGCCTGACCTGGACTGGGTGGGAAGGAAGGTGTCTGCTGACCCCTCTGAGCTTTGTATCAGGGCCTGTAGACTAGCTCTGAGCAACTTTGATATCCTTGTCAGTACCTGTGATCCAGACTTGTAGATCACATGGTCCAGATACCTTGGAGACTAGGAATAAGGTGGTGATGGTAGCTCCAGTAAAGGAAGAGCCTTGTCCTGAGCTGTGGCTCTGTATCACTTCACTCTTGCCTTTTCAGAGTTGGTATTTAATTCTCGGTCCAGCCACTGGAGAGAGCTCTAGAGATCTTAAAACAGGTTTCAGGAGCAACCTCTCAACAAAACTAGCTGCACAGCAGGTGTGGGACTACAGCAGGAGCTCCACAATGTCTTCTGCTGCCAAGATCAGGGAGAGTAACTGATCTCTGTCAGCCTATAAAAGGCTCTGAGGATCAAGAAAGGGTGACAGCGTGTTGCTTTACTAAAGTTGCTGATTTGACTTGACTCTGAGGATAAGCCAAAAGCAGGACTGCGGCTGTTGTGGCCTCCTGGGACTGGTTTTAAGCCAGCTGGTGGTCTCGGTACTGTGAAGGGTGATTTCCAGTGGTGCAGAGCCACATTGCCGCAGTACCTTGCCTGGCTTACGAACAGGGTCTGTCAGCTGTTGATACCCAGGTGGTTGATACCCAGGTTGACTGGCAGTATTTATGCTGGTAGTTACCCATCCCGGGCTGCATGAGTCTGCGTTGTTTCTTTTTCGGAAGGAAAGCAGGGTGCTGGGGGTTCAGTGAAAGGCAGGAACTTCAGGATATGGCTGGCGTCTTCCAGCCTCCCCTGTGGAGAAGAGGAGTGTTCCCAATTTAGCAAAAAAAAAAGCTAGTTAAGGCACTAATAATTAGATGTTGCAGAAGGGGGGTGCAGGTTGGTTGCAGTACCCTTTGCTAGAATTGGTTCTACAGGGATGCATTTTATATTCACTTATCTTTGTACTTTTTTGTGGCCCGGTTGAAAAGCAGCACTTTTCACTTCCCCTCAGAATAGGCTCCCAAAGCTGTCTTAGGGTAAGCTGAAGACTTTTGCAGTGAAGAATGCCCCAAGATAGCAAGATGCAAGCGATTGCTGCCCAACTGAGAGGAACGCAATGGAGATGTCTGGGAGCAAGGAGTGGGCTGGTGTTGTTCTAACCAGGTTATTAAGGTCTCAAAAGCAGTGTGGGGGAGCTTCTGTGCAGGAAGGGGTATATGAGATGTAAAGGAGAGGACTGCTGACTGTTGCCTAGGGCCAGACAAGATCGACCTCCTGCCCAAGAGGAACTTGTTCGAGAGGAGGAGGCTCTGAGAACTCAGCAGCAGAGGACCCTCCCCTAAAGCGTTCCTTGTGTCAGCTGGAGAGCTCAAGAGTTGGGCACTTCTTAAATAAGGTCTTGGACATTAACAGAGGCATCTGTGATGGTTCATTTTGATGCACAGATGGCATCTTAACTTCAAGTGTTTTCACTTTTGGTTCTCTAAATGTTTTATTACAGAAGGACAGGCAGTACATCACCCTCCACTGCTTGGTCCAAAGTCCAAAACAAAACCATGAAAGACCAGTGTTTCGATGCAGCTGTAGGGGACAGTAGCTAAAAGGAGTTAGTGCTCACCCTCGTATAAACTTAGTTCAGAGTGAGTTCCCCAACACAGTCCCAGTCTGGACTGGAATGACCTAGGTTGTCTGTTGGCTTCTTTAGTTTTAAACCACTAAGCACTTTGAGAGAAGGACCTTTTCTTTTAACTTGGATGTGGTAGCAGCTGTTGGTTTAGATATGTTCAGTAACTAGTCAAAGAGCCCCTGGCCCCTGAAATGCTGTACTCGGTAGCTCTGATAAGCCGGTGTGATGCTACGTGAAACTTAGAAGTATGAACTGGCTGTCTTGGCAAACTGGAGTCCAGGATAAGCTTTGGCTTTGGATGTGATATTACAGCATAACATCACTTTACGTCTCTGCACTGGGCATGATGGGTAAGAATTTAAGAATAAACAAATCCATAACTCTGTCTCAAACGCAGGCAGTTTGTCGCTTCTGCCCTATTGTAGCATCTTGCAGCTCCAACAGCTCCCAAAGCAGGCTCGGGGATTTGTGCTGTCCGCCTCGTTTTTGTAAGGGAGTGAACAGGATTGAGGTGGCTTTGTTTGGTGTCTCTTTAAAGGTAAGACTTCTAGTCTAATGACTATTTAGAGAGAAAATACTTTCACCCCCATAAAGTTCTTTGAATTATAAAGGACATTGCTGCTGGGTTACTGAAAACCCTTGGGGTTTGTTTCATTTATAACATTGCCTCAGGCCTTCTGCTGCATCCTGTTGGATTGACCTCCTTTTCAACCCGTGCTGGCAGCTGCATTGCAGAGCTATCTTTTTCCCTGGATCCTTCAGGGTTGTCATATGACAAACTTGAACTGTGACCCTTTTGAGTCTTACCAGGACAGCAGTGCCCTCTCTGTGCGATGTGGCCAGCAGTCTTCCACACACACACATTTGTTCCAAGCCATTTAACAAACTGAAAGTTTCAAATGATGGCATTTCATAGTGTTTAATAGTATTGACTGTAAAGCAAATGAAATGGTGCTGAATACCCTGCATGCTGCTAGTAAGAAATACAGCTTCCATTTCTGCAATATGCCCTGGGTTTTCTGTGGTTAGTGCGTGTTCTCTGGTGAATCTGTCTATTTTTTTAATAAATTTCAATGCTTCCCCCCAACAACAGTAGCGTTCACTACTATAGATAGTCCAGCACTGGTATTTGTTTCTAATATATAGGTTTTTTAACCAGATTTCTCTAAGCAAAGTGGGCAAAGTCATTTTGCTGAAGTCTTGCAGAGAGTGTTAGGGTAAGAATTGATATAGTTAACACGGCATCCAGGCAACACCATCTCCAAGTGGTGTTGATGCTGGCAGGCATTGCCTTGCTGAAGTTACAGAGACTGAGCGCTCGTATTTGTACAAATTGCATTCATTACCAAGAACCCTCCAGTAGTGATAAGAGACTGGCTGTGTAGCATAGATTGGCTCCAAGATAAGTAGCCAGTCTATTGTGCAGCTCATGGTAATCTTCCTCCTCCCCACCCCTAATAATAAATCTTGGGGCATTTTGGAATGCGTGGGGGTTGCTCATTCCAGTAGCCTGAATGTATAACTATTAAACATCATCATCTCCTACCAATTGTGCTTTCATAACCAAGCGAGGCAGCCAACTGAGATGGATAGGCTTGGGTACGGTGTTCTGAACACGCGGATGCTTCCACTGTGTGTGTGTGTGTTTGCTCCCTTAAAGGACAATTCACAGGTGATGGCCGGGGTAAGAGTTTCTCCTGGCCGTGTTTCAAGGTTAGAGCCCACTTGCAGTGATGGTTTTCTTCAAGAAGAGATGTGAACATCTGGAGCTTAGGTGTTTGCAAGTGGGAGTAAGAGCCTTGCACGACCTGGGGCTCTGCATAGGAACCATGGCAGTACCTTCTTCGTAGTCAGCTTGTCCTTTCTCAGTGCCAGTGTTTACATAGTATGACCTCAGTGAAACGGTGGTCACTTAGCTTACCGTAATAATATAGTTTTTTAAAAAGATAGAATTTTTTTACTAAGAGTTTTTTCATTGCTTTGACTGAAACAAACTATTAACTGGCAAGTGCTTGCTTTGTCTTCTAATGTATCTAATGTGCAAGGACTCCTGGATTGCTGGTTTTCAACATGTAAATCTGAACATCAGCAGGCTAGTTTTATGCAAGTAGGCAGTATGATCCAGCCAGTTTAGTTAAAAACTTGTATTTACATGGAATTCTAATTTTTTTTCTCTCTCCCTCTCCCATTTAGGATTTGAAAGGCAATGGAATCGCTCCTGGATCATCAGGTTTTAGCCTTACGAAACAGCTGCTCTGTCCAAGAATAACCCGCGTCTGTCTCAGGGACTTGATATTCTGCATGGAACAAGAGCGGGAGATGAAGCATTCTCTAACCTTGTACCGTGCTCTTCTGAAGTGATTTGAATTTTACATTTCAACTTGCTGTCTACTGCCAAAGAAAACACTGAAGCATTGTTGCACTGTCTTGAAATTCCAATTTCTGGAAAATGATCCGTTGTAAGGATAACTCTTGTTTACAGATAAACATTTTTATTAAATACCTAACTTAGCACCTGTAGGGTTTTTAATAATATTTGGCTTAAACCAGTCTGTAAACCAGTGAAAACACTGAGCTGCACACACAGGCACCTGAATACCTGCTTGCATTTAACTGTCTTGCAGGCTCTGAGGGCTTGATACGTGTCCCTAGCTTATGTATGTCGCTTGCTTCAGTACTCCAGAGTCTGCAACATCTGTTCTACGTGTAGTGCCTTCTTCTAATCCAACCTTATTTAGGGAAACAAATAACACTTTAAAGGCATGGCATAGCATGGCAACTGTATTTAATCATGAACCAGCAGTCAGTCAACATGCTAATGTATTGCCTATCTGACTCAGCACCTCCTTAAATTCTCTGGGTTTAGAATTTCTACTGGATGCTCGTTTGTGGAGAGCAAAGTAGCAAGCAAAAGGAATGAGGGGTGCTTTCTCGCTCCCACCTCACCTCAACTGCCCTCCCCCTTTCCTCTGAGAAAGTGACTGAGGGAAGATGAACAAATCAGTCATTCTTGTGATTGAAGTACATCAGACAGCGTAGTTAGGACATACTTCAATGTTCGGGGAAAATCTGGAGTTACTAAACTTGAATACAAGGAGCGAAAGAGCCTAAAAAGGAACGGTAAACAGAAGAAACAGTTTTTCTTTCTGTAGATATTAAAAATAGCATTGAACTTGAGCATAGATGTAGAAAGAAATTAACAAAAGCAACCTGTGCTGACTGCAAAAAAGGGAAAACTTGAGATGCATTGACACTTTGCAGCTGGAGACTCTCTTAAGGAGAAAAGCAGTGTTTGCAAAGCACAGGATTCACTGCTTTATTTAGAATATTGATTTAATACCTTAATGTGATATAACAGGGAAACTTCCCAAATAGAAAGTATTTAGACAGTTGCCTGGTTTCCATTCAGTGAGGAGGATGACTCCGGCTTATTAAGACTGCTATAGATTCAAAGATTTTCTGCTTGCTGGTGAAGACTGCCTTGTGGTCGCAGGAAAAACCTCCGGGTTGCCCTTCTCCCCAGCCTCCAAACATTTTGCCTCCCATGACACAGTGCTGTACAGCATGGCTATTTCCCAGGGCCAGCGGGAAAGGCACTGACTGCATTGAATGGCTCCCTGCTGAAACTTTTTTCTTTTGAGGAACAAGCTTCCTACGGTTATTTGGCATGGTACTTCAAAACTTGAAGCAATGATTCAAACACCCTCCACCGCCAGAACCACTGCAGATAGATAGTTACCAAATTCGATAAGTTTTGAATCGGTTATGTTTTTTGTGTTGGAACAGTAGTAAACAAATCTAGTAAATGAATGCTGTAAATTATTTATATATGTATATATAGCATATATATAAAAGAAAAACAGTACTTTGACTAAGCTATAGTTTGCAAGATATTGATGGCATCAGGCAAAATTGTTTTGTATAATTAAATGCTTAGCTTTACTTTTTATGTAAAGTGCAGCATTTTCCATATTTGTGTACTGTATCTTATTGATCAGATGTTTAAAATTATTTTAAATACTGCATTAAAGCAATTATTTTATTAAAAACAATAAATTGGTAACTTTTGTTTCCTAACGTGAGAAATTCAGTGTCTGAAGCTGTCTCACCATGACTAATGGTGTGGCTCTGAGAGCAAGCCCCGGTTATCTGCCCATCACAGTAATTGGCACGGTTGCTGCACGTGACGTATTAACGATAAACATCTCTATTTTAAGGTTTTTAAACAGAACTAGGTGACAGAGCAAAGAATTACTTGAAGGGAGGGGTGGGCAGGGAGGAAAAGCAACCTCTCCTTTGCCTGACTTCCCCCAGTCAGTCGGCACGGAGGCTGGTGGGTTTTTTTGTTAACAGCTGGGCAGAGGTGACCGCTTTGCACGTGTTCTGGGAGGTAAAAACACAGGAACCATCTCAGACTTCAGCAATGTGCAGTAGAGGCATTGTCCTAAATTATTTTTAAAGCAACTCAATTAAGCGCAGGTCGGAGAACAAAGATGAGCATCTGCATATTGGCCTGCCTCTTTGTCGTCTTTAAACAAATGTGATACTTAAAATGAAAGATGTTGGAGAAAATAACTTACTTTATATATAATCTATTTATCAATTATGACAGATGATTCAAGAGTTTTTATGGCCTGCCTACGATGCAGATTGCATGCTTTCATTGCTGCCACAGCAAGTTGTCTCCTTCACCAGTAGTTCCTCCCTGTGCGCCTGTTTTTCAGCATGTCTTTAGGCCTAATTTGAGACAGGGACAGACAAGGCCTCAGTGCAAAGGCTAAAAATACTTGTCTCCCTTCACCTGCCTCTCATTCGAACTCAACTTTGTTTCTGAGAAGAACAAGCGTCCTCTAAAGTGGCACTTGGGAGGCACTTGAGTTTTGCTCAGCCACACCAGGAGTTAAAGGAGAGATGACCGTGGGTTCACTTCCCACCTTTTCCCTGTCTCATTACCCTTTATGGGAAGGTGGACTGCTCTTTATGCAAACACTAAAAGCCTAGTCATAAGGTGACGAGGACAAACCCTGCCATTATGCTCCCTTGCCTCTTGGTTCTTGGCATGCTGTGTTCAAGCTCGGGGACCTAGCAGCAGAGCCGTCTATGCCACCGATGCTGCGAGGGCTCTAAAGCTTACTCCAGGCACTTCTTGCTGTCCAGACGGCATGCTAGCCTAGTGGCTATTTCTGATGCACCGAGCTGCCTGGGGAACTGTCCCTGCCACTCGAGTATTCTGCCTTTAGAGAAAATAGTATGTACAGTTGGAGGGGAAAGCTGTTGTTGCTGGCTCTTGACTACTACTATCTTAAAAGCATAGCATGCCGAGTTTTGTATGTTACATGGTGACAAAAGGGGCCCTGTACTCTTTCTCCTCCAGCTGTTGCTTTTTTTTCCTTTATTGCCATTTTCAAGTCCTACCACTGAATCCAGCCCTTTGCACTGCCTTTGACTCCAGCTTTTCCCTTCTCCCCCTGGGAAAGACTAGCTGGAGTGCGCTAACACACCCCGCAGCTTTGTTTGAGGTTTAATGAGGAAGGTAGTGGGGGCCCATGAGACGTTGCTAGATGATTCCTCAAAGCCATTGCACTCTCTTGGACACTTTGACACAAGTAGCTTAAGGCTACTGTTTGCATCAAGTTGTTCTAGGCCCACTCTCTTGTAGGCACCTGTGTCCTGCCATGTGAGTGCACTGCTTGGCAAAAAATGCCGTCGGCTGTTCTCCAGCTTCACCTCTTTGTTCTGTTCTTTGCTTTCCTCTTCATTTGTAATCAGTGGGGTGAAGAAGGAAAGGCTAAGGCAAATGAGGATGTCCTGAAGGGGCAGACAGTCCAAGTGATTGGACTTGATGAAATGGGCTTGCTCCCAGCGACTCTTCAAATGAGGGCTGCTGGGTTTCTGAGGCCAAGTGCTGCATACACTTCCCTCTGCACGTAGCACACACGATGTCTACACATCCTCTGAGAGCTGGATCCAGCCATTGTTATCCAAAGTCCCGTGGCCGGAGCCTGCAGCTCTGGAGATAACTGCAATCTGCAGTGAAGGCTTTACTCCTTTGGTGAGTGCAAAATTGAGTACCAAGACTGAAGAATGTAGCACACCAGACCTCTCTGTTTTGCCACTTTTGGCACTGGGCTTGTTGCCACCTGTCAGTGGCTTGTCCTACCCTCCTCTAGTGGAAGGCTACCTGTCTGCAGGCCACAATGCCAGTGTTTCACTTGGTGCAGGCCTTTTGTAAGCTAGGCAAGCACCCCTTTTGGCTTTGTAACACTTTGAAGGAATAGGCAAGAAACCTCGTCTTTTCCTTCCAGATACATCAGTCCTTGTTCTTACCACCTCTTCTTTCCTCTTGTACTGTAGGCATGAGCTTTTCACTCCTTGCCTGCTCTCTGTAGCTATCCTGACGTGTTAGCCGCTAACTTCGCTACCCAGTCTCTTCTCAGGATCCCTTGCTTCACAGTTCACAGGTTGCCTCCACGCAGCCTGCTTTTGAAAGGGTTTTTGCTGTGAAGGAGGGAGGAAAAGGAGGACCTCCATCCTGGACTTGAAAGTTGAATGGCTATTCTGGAGTGGAAGGAGGTGGTGGTTCCTGCTGGAGACCCCATTAGAGCTGGTCATCCATTCTCTTCCCCAACCCCCATCCCACAGTCCCACAGCTCTTCCAGGTATCTCCTCTTCAGCCTCTTTCTGTCGCAGAAGTAGGAAAGGGTATAGCTATGTCTTGCGTGATTCAGCTGGACATCGGGCGGTATCAGGACCCGTGCTGAGGCCCCAGAGGGTGACCAGTAGGTGCTTCTCCAGAGCTCTGCCCGTCAGTATTGCCGCTGAAAGACTGCTTCCCCTGGGGAAGCAGTGTGTCCCTGCTGTGCCCTGGCGGGAGGGAACAAAGGCGCGGGGTTCTTCTGCTTGGGTACTGCTAAGGCAACAAAGTCATCTTCATCTCAGCAGCTTGGCATGCATGCCTCTGCTCCGCAGGCTTTCCTTGAAGAACTGCAGTTATCGGTAAGCAGTAACTCTCTCTACCAGATCACAGGGAATATTATTTAAAATCTATCTGGAATGAAAAAATTATCTGACAGATCATCTGTATCTGTTTTTGAGAGCTAATTCATAATTATGTGTAGTTCCCCAAGCTTCTTGAGATATTTGCACTTCCACTTTGAAGTGTTTAGCGTGACGGGGTTTATTATTTACAGTTATTTGAAGGTGTTTCTTATTTCTGTCCTTAGAAGCTGGAAGGGAGGAGGGGGAGTATTTTTTTCAAGTAATTATGTGTGAATATACATGTAGTCCATGTATATAAGGTTAGCTAAGTAACTTTTAAAAATACCCTACTTCTTGTAAGGGCTGAGTTATAACAGCTCCCA